ATTCTATGCTCTCTGCTAATCATTCCGTGGAAATTTCAGTTGTTTTAGACGAGAAATGAGTGAAATATACGATCTTTAATTTTTGACGATAACAGGCGAAAAATCGGCTACTGATCAAATTGGCTTTTATGGAGTTGTGGTTGGGTGCCGAATGAAATGAACATCATCACGATGATCAGCGTGGTCAATTACCTATGATCCACATGTTTCTGAGATTCCCAGATATGTCTGCAATGAGATAGGTGTGTCCTCGGAAAACGTCTGTATGTCCAGAACCAAAGGAGATGTAGATCTGATCCCTGCGTAGTTTTGAAGAGAAGTATTTTGGCAATCGACTGCTATTATTTGAGATTGGATGCCACAGTGTGGTTTGAAACGATAAGTTAATTCTAAGGGTGAGTGTGGATGTAACGATCAAAAAGGGACAAACTCAAAACATTCTCAGATATTCATAGGGCATACTACTGGTTGTTACAGAAATGAAATAGTCTAGTTTTAAGGAACGAATCAGTTTTTACTAAAAAGAAATAACGGTCAAACTTTTCTTAATTTAGTTCTAATTTAGTTTCTTTTGTTATCGAATTCTTCTCTTTACTCAAGATTAAGATAAATAAAAAAATATCGTTACATTTTTGGTGGAGGTGCGAAGCAATCTGGTGTTTTCGTGTATGCTCATATTTTTCTCCAATCAACAGCATGTCGTAATAAACTCAAATACACCATAATAAATCACTACCAACAGTTCATCGAATACTTTACTCACAATCAAATCAGACAGGGTTACATAATTCAGTGCACAAACAAGAAACAATAGGAGAAGTAAAACTAACAACTACAGCATCACTTTATGACATTCTAAAACAGCAAATAGAACTGCCAGCAAAAACAGTTGATTTTCTTTAACAACAGCTTATTGAATTTAAACTTTTATCACAGCACAGAACACCGAAAAACTCCGAACAATCGACATTATTTCACATAACACAACAACCACAACCACAGCTTACACATCAACTTTCATCATCTCATCGACCGAATATAAGACTTCATGATACAACAATAATACCATACTCAGTATCGTCAACGATACATTTAAAAGCATCAGATTTACCAACTTATCGTGGAAGACAAGATGAGGATATAGATCAATGGGCGGAACAAGTTTCAGCTATCAAACAATATAGTCATACGATAGACGGAGAACTACTAAAAATACTTCCATTAGTTTTCAGAGATAGTGCTTTAACCTGGTTTACGACACTTGGTAAAACAAAAAGATCAACATTAACAACATGGGGAGGATGGAAATGTTAAAGTAAGCATTTAGACCAGCTAACTATCAAACAGAATCATTACGTGATCTAAAATATCGTACATTTACAAACAATGAATGTGTGAACGATTATTATTTTGATAAATGTAGATTATTACGCGTAGTATTCGCCGAAAATGTTGAAGAAGCAACAATGGTTAATGATATTATAGATGGTTTATCGGGAAATTTTAAGATGTTTGTATTAAGTCGAATCAATACTAATACATCATTAGAAGAATTACGTCGTATTCTAATGGACTTGAAGTCAAATATTCATGAACAGAAACTCAATAATACCTATCAATTCAGCGTCAAATTTCACAACCATAGCAACGACCATAATGAGCGTCGTTATTTAAATTCAGATACAAATACAAATCGAGATGCAACACCAACAACAAGAACATCAAAAAATTAATCCACCGAGTCTATGTCCACTTTGTCAGGGACGGCACTGGAAAAATGATTGTCCATTATTACAACAACAACAACAACAACAACGAGGCGTATTTAATAACTGATTAGTATTAACAAGAAACGTATATGACAGTAAAATTAATGACACATCAAATAATCAACATCGAAGAATTAATAATACAATAGCATTAAATAATAATCGACAATGTTTTTCAATTGATAGCAATAATTCACATCGAATTGATGAACAACATCCATGTGACTCTATTGAACCATCCAATTTAAGTTATGAAAAAACACCTTATTCGTAAACAAAAAACAATTTCGGAAAAAACTCTTCATAGAATTGTTCTACATTTGAAGGCGAATCTTTTGGCGTAAAAATGAAGTCTCTAGGATCTTCCCCGTCTTAGGAATAAGAGCTGCAAGTTGGAGGACTGGAACGCTGACCGGATCCTATTAACGGGACCACGAAAATTTTATTTTATGCCGGACGTCCTTGAAAGACACATTCCTAGGAGCTACTTGTCATGGAGATTCCGAAAAAACAAGTTTCAAGAAGTTGTAATTCGCGTGAGAAACACTAGGACGCTTTTTCTCAAAAATCCGAGTTTAGTGAATTTGGGACAAAATTCATACTTGAAGAGTCTGCTTCTGTCCAATAGCAGAAATTAGATGCATCATTGATAAGCAGTAGGAAAAAAGGTCAACATTATTGACTATTACCGAATGTTCCATAATCTAATATATTTTTCTATTTCGTGTTGGAAATAATTTTAAATCGGTTAGTCGAAATACACCCGATAAGGCCCTTTTCTGTCCATGATATTTTCGACAAAAACAATTCCATGTTCAGGAACGGCCTTATCGATGCTGCTCGTTTGATTGTGAACAAGACAAGAAAGAGGTGCCCAAACATGAAATTTATTCGGTGCATCAAACCGGGTAACCGTCTCTAACTTACGTCTCATACTGTCAGTTTCTCTACTGCTCATCCGCACCATACGAAAACGCCAGTTCGCTACGGCGCTTGTAATGCAGTTTCATATCCTAAGCTTCCGCCTTCTATGACCTTCTCACCCGTTCCTTTCCATATGCTCTGATTATCTCATATTCTAATCTTCTGATCTTCTGAGGCGTATCCGGAATATCCGTGTAAGGTGTAATAAAGATTGTCTTTAGCATAATACCGAGAACATACATATTTCAACTTTTCATACATTTCACGCATTTCAGCATTGCAATAATATTTCACACATTTCAACAGTTCATCTTTTCATACATAAGCTAAAGCAAGATGATTTAGTACGGTTTTTTACAACCTGATATTGTCTTCCAAGTCACTTCTACTTAAGAAGATCAGTTCTACTTAAGAAAGTCACAAAATTATGTCACTCAGTACATGTCGCTTGACTCTTGGAGCATTACAACTTTTTTAGAAATCTGCTAAACTATAGTATAAACGGTCACACAATTTACACGGTTGTAATTCTCGTGAGAAACACTAGGACGCTTTTTCTCAACAATCCGAGTTTTTAAGGTTTTTTTAAGGTATGCATAGTACCGTAGAGCTTGCACTGTAGTGATACAGTAGAAAAAAATGAAAATATTAAGTAGAAAATAAAGTTTAAGATTTTCTTTCAAATTCCTAAATATGTTAATGAAGATTCTGATTATTGCGTATTAAATTAATCATTTTAGAATTGTTGAAATATCTTGACAAGATCTGCTCAAGATTTATCACGACAGATTCTGATTCAAAACTTGTGGAAAATCTGCAGCATTGCCTTCCATTCAGAATCTTGACAGATTTCGATAAATCTGCACAAGTTCTTGAAAGATCAGGGGCGAAACTTGAGAAATCTTTAAAGATTTATGAAGATCTGCATTCAAGATTTTTCTCCTGGGTAAAAGGGTATAGAGAAGTGCAACCATTGTTAAACCCTTTTAGGTTTCGTAGAAGACAAGGTGTAGTACGAAACTGTTTTAACTGCATCGAAACAATTGATCAATGCATTCGCTCATTTCGTTATGTTTTTCCTCATGATTTTTTCGCGCAAAGTCAAAAATTACAGAAGTTCCAGGTATTTTTTTGGGTTAGTTTTGGTCGCACTATACAATGAAAACACGCCTGAGCTCTGAAATGGTCCACTTGCTCAGAAAAAAAAATTTTTAGAAAAAAACTGATAGAATTTATGCAGTTAAACGGTTTGCTACTGCACCTTGTCTTCTACGAAACCTAAAAGAGTTTAGAAATGGTTGCACTTCTCTATACCCTTTTAGGTTTCATAGTAAACCTTTTTTTTTGGAGAGCAGAAGCGATAGAGACAATTACAGACTCTCAAATCATCAAAAAAGCTAATTTTTTGTCTATATTCACTGATTTTTCTTAAAATGACCTCTTTCTTGTGTCAATGAACGGAGGCTTCGAGTATTTTAAACTATCGTCCTCTCTCTCAGTGACAAAACAGCTTGTGCATATTTGTTTTCAAGGTCTCAAAGCATAATCACATTCTGCGCTGCAGTTCAGTCTTTCTTCTTGGATAAAAGATTCTTGAGATAATTTGACTCATTATTCAAGATCTAGCTTTATTAGCCTATTTTATTGCGTTTTTGCGACGCTTTTAAAGCCCCTAATCAAAATTATCAGCAAAACATTATAGCAAGTTATTTTTCAGACGATTTTGAATGAACGAGCCAAATGCTCATAAAATCTTCGTTTTAAGACCGAGATTTCTCGTACTTTAAGAAACTGCAATACACTAAAGTACAAGTGAGATAGCATACCCCTAGTGAATGTACTTGCGAGTGGGTACTTGCTTACTTGCAAATTTCTGCCGGTACTTGACAAGTACTTGACATGCATTATAAGAACTTGACAAGTATTTTCCAAAAATACTGCTTGATAAGTACTTGTGCAAGTAATTGCGGAAAATTGCAAGTAAACAAATACTTGAGAAGTGTTTGCTGTATTTGGACAAGTACTTGATAACATTCGATACATTAGAAATTCATCTAACGCTTTAAGTAGAAAACTGAAAAATTTCAAGTACGAAATATTCAGGCATAGAGAGAGAAAGTACATGGAAATGAGCATATGTTTGACCTTGAACCAAAAGGGCGAAATAGAATAGAGATTCAACTACAGAAAGAGAGAGAGATAATGACAACACGAAAAGAAAGAGAATGGTTTATTATTTCTTCGCTCAGCGATTTCTCTTATAATTCCTATATACAAATTTTAGATCTCTCCTTTTCTTCCTTTTGTTATCTGTTGAAATAATCTCCTTTACCTGTTCAACATTTTCTGTACGGCTACATTATATGGTGTACATGTTGACGCGCGGGAAGATTTTGTAGATTTTATATTAATAGCATAAGAAGAGCAGAAATATGGTGCATTTCTGCTATTCTTGGACTAAAGCAGCCATGCTTGTCTTTAACTTTATCTGTCTTCATCAGTTTATTTTTAGTCATTTCTGCTATTAGAACTCTAGCGTATTTGTCTTTATCTTTATCTCGCATATACGACATTAGGATATATTCGGAAGAGAACAGACATCAGAAGAAAGGAACAAAACATGTGTAACTACACAGCAACGAAGAGAAACATTGCTTTCCTCATGTATATATGACACATATAGATAAAGAGCATAGATAAGGATAGATATATCGTAGACAGAAGAATTTCAAATTTATCGCATTCAATCCAGCATAAAATTCATCAGTTTAAAATGTTCTCATGTATTGCGATTGCTTGTTGAGGGCAGGGCTCAGGGGGACAAATCATGACCCGGTCCGGATTCGTCTTGGAACTTCGGGAATAGTCCAGACATAGGTGATCGAATGCTTTGATCATTGTGGCAATGTTTATTTTCCTCTTTTTCCTCTAAGACTTAAGCAGAGGTTGCTAGAGGGTTATTCATCAAAAACCATGTTTTTGCCTGCAGTAAGCAAACTTTGAATTGATATATCTTGGTCATTTTACGTCAGAAATCGTTGACGTTTTCAGCAAAGACGCAGAATATGGTCTAGAATATGAATACATTGGAAAACATCCAATGGAGAAAGTATAAAAATTGCGGTTTTCCAGAAACCGCCTATAAAGTCTCTACCTCAAAACCACAAAAGTCCGCATTTTTCTAAATACCTACGTATTCTCAGCAGTGTAATAAGAATCATAAGAATCAAAATTTTTTTCGGGTTTTCTGCCCTATTTTTAAAATTTCAATAAAAACTTCACCTTTTGATATGAGGAGTTGATTCTGGCGTAGGTCGCTAGAGAACATTGACTTGTATAAGGAGAAAAACTTTACATCGTTCTCAAATGAAGTTTGACGGAGAAACTTAACTTTCACCTTCCCGAGGAAATTTTAGAGCTAAAAGTATTTTGAAAAAAGCCTTATGGCTAGTTTTAAGGCCCCCCTCCCCCTCAAAAATCGATCTCAGCCCTGGTCAATACAAATGGGCTGAAATTTGGAGCATGTTGGGGCTGAAGTGCGAAGGCTGTGGTAAAACTTTCAGCTCGATACCTTGACATTTGACAGAGATATGAGCAAAACACGGGTCAAAAATAGGTCATCTTATCTCCAAAAAATCTCCATGGCCCTTCATTACATATACAATTATTTTT